GCACATCTCCCACTGGAGATATGCCTGCAACCCAGGTACATGCCCCTGACCGGAATCTGACCCGGGACCCTTCAGTCCGCAGGCCGGCGCTCTATCCACTGAGCCAAACTGGTTTTGGCGGATTTTTAAATTTCATTTAAAATGTTATTTCTTGCCCTAGCCAGTTTGGCTCAGTGGATAGAGCGTCAGCCTGCGGACTGAAAGGTCCCAGGTTCAATTCCGGCTAAGGGCATGTACCTAGGTTGCGGGCACATCCCCAGTGGGAGGTGTGCAGGAGGCAGCTGGTCGATGTTTCTCTCTCATTGATGTTTCCAACTCTCTATCCCTCTCCCTTCCTCTCTGTGAAAAATCAATAAAATATATTTTTTTAAAAAATAAAATGTTATTTCTTTTTTGTTGTTAATCCTCAACCTAGGATATTTTTTCCATTGCTTTTCAGAGACAGTGGAAGAGAGGGAGAGGGTGAGGGAAGGAATGGGGGAGAGAGAGAGAGAGAAAGGGAGAAAGAGAAGAGGAAAGAGAAAGAAAGATCGATATGAGAGAGACACATCGGTTGGTTGCCTCCCACATGGGCCCCATCCGGGGGTGGGTAGGGAACCCACAACCCAGGTATGTGCCCTTGACCGCAAATCGAACCTGTGACCCTTTCTTTCGAGGCCTGACATGCTAACCACTGAGTACTGACCAGGGCCAAATGCTATTTCTTCCTAAAGTCTTCTGTGAACAACCCCCAATATACATTCATACCCATATACACACAGGACCTGGTTAGTTGCTCTTCTTTTTTTAAAAATATATTTTCATTGATTTCAGAGAGGAAGGGAGAGGGAGAGAGATATAGAAATATCAATAATGAGAGAGAATCATTGATTAGCTGCCTCCTGCACACTCTTCACTGGGGATCAAGAACATAACCTGGCATGTGCCCCAACCAGGAATCGAACTCTCACCTCCTGGTTCATAGGTCAGTGCTCAACCACTGAGCCATGCCGGCTGGGCTCTATTTTTTTACCTTTACCATAGAGGTTGGAGTCTAGGTATTCGTTGAGTTAATCCTATAGAACTAGAAGCTTTTATGTTTTTCTTTTCTTTCCAGTTCCGAGGTATGAAGGGTACAGAGGAAGATATTGGACCTTTGGAGTCTAAACATTTCATTTTATAAACAGCTGTTAGCCTGGAGAAAGGAAAGTAATGTCAGGCCTTTTAGCCACCTCTGATTATTAGAAAAGCTGGTTTGCAGAAAAGAAAATAGACTCCTCTGCCTTACAGAGGTAGACTTTGAATTAGAATGGAATAGAACTGTCGAACAATGGAGGATGCGCGCGCGCGCGCACACACACACACACACACACACACACACACACACACACCACTACCACCACCCCCTCCCTCCCCAACCCCCCACACCACTCCCAACACCCCCATAGGCTGTATAACCTTAAAGGCCCCTTGTAACTCAGATTCTTGGCCCTTTTGTTATTCCCATACTCAACAGTTTAGTGGTTCCTATCTCAAGAGTGAAGTTCCCTGGCACTTAAGGTTTATTCCGTGCCAAGCGCAACTTTACTTACATTTTCAATAATCCTTTAAAAATAATATTATATTACATATGAGAAAACTGAAGTACAGAGGTGAAATACCTTGCTCCAAAGTCATGTAGCTAGTGGCAAAGCCAGAATATAGCCTGCTTGGCTCATAGCCCTTAATTCTAAACACATCTTCCCTTTTGGCACTGTACTGTTTTCACCAAACTGGACTACATTTCAGATAGTGATTTTTTTGTGTGCCTAGAATGCCTGTCTTCTCTCCATTCTTTCCCCCTTACACTAATGTTGAAATATTTAGAATGCTTAAAGATCAACCTCATTAGGAAATTCTCTCCCCTAAAAAATTATGACCTGTTTTTAAGATTTTTGTCTTTAATTTTCGGCAACTTCATTATGATGTGTCTGTGTGGATTTGTTTTTGCATGTCTATGTCAGTTAGCTTTTGCTGTGAAATAAAACCTCTGGAAAACTTGGTGGCTTAAAACAACATTTATTTAGCTCATAATTCTGTTGGTTGGCAGTTTGGGCTGGGCCCAGCTGGATGGTTCTTCTCAGCTCCACATGGCTTTGGTTCCACACGTGCCCCCACATGTGCCTGTAGTTAGCTGCAGGTCAGGTAGACAGCTCTGCTTCTGTGTGTTGGCTGGGGCAAGTGGAGGTGATTGAGCTACATATTTCATTATTTAATAGGTTAGCCTGGCCTTGTTCAAGTGGCAGCAGCAGGGTTCCAAGAGATAAAAACACATAAGGCCTCTTGAGGTTTAGTTTCAGAACAGGCACTTCACTTCTACTGCATTCTATTGGTCAAAACAAGCCCAGATCAGAGGGTGGGGAAATAAACCACTTCTTGATGTGAAGAGCTATAAAGTCACAAAGATACAGTCAGTAAAAGAACTGTGGTCTCTTTCTGTAAATGCTCCACCACATTATCCTGTGGAGCTTCATTTTATTTCTTGAATCAATAGATTGTATTCTTTCATTGTCCTGAGAAAATTTCAGCTATATCTCATTAAATGTTGCTTCTGTTTCATTCTATTTCCCCTCTAAGACGCCACTGAAACCCCTGTTAGGTCCTCTTACTGTGACCTCTGTGTATCTCTTATTCTGTCTCCTGTACTTACCATTTCAATGCTTTATTCTGACCTGCCTCTTAGTTTATCAGTTCTTCAAATGTGCTGTTAAGAACTCCACTGAGTTTTTAAGTTTGGTTATAGTATATTTTTAACATATATATTTTATATTTTATTGACTGATAGAGAGAGAGAGAGAGAGAGAGAGAGAGAGAGATCATCGATTTGTTGTTCCACTTATTTATGTATTTATTGGTTGATTCTTGTATGTGCCCTAACTGGGGATGGAACCCACAACCTTGGTGTATCGGGATAATGCCCTGATCTACCTGGCTAGGGCTGGTTATAGTATTTTTGTAGTTCTATAGTTTTGGTAGTTTTTTTCAAATAACACTTTTCATGAGTCCTAGTTTCTTGCCGAAACTTAAAGCTTATCTTTATCTCCATAAACATGATTGTCTTACAGTCTTTTTGATTACTCCAGTGTCTAGAGTCCCTGTTTGTTGTTACTGTCTGTTGCTTTTGTTGATTTTAGCTCATATTGTCATGTGCCTGTAATATTCATTTGTTGGGTAAATGATTTAAATGTATTTTTAAAAACAGTAGGAGGCCTAGGATGTTACCTTTCAGAGAGGATTTTCATTTCCTTCTTCTAGGCACCTGAGGGTGCGAGCCTTAGGCTTCGGAATTTTTTGCTTTACCTTGGTGATCCTTGGAAAAGATTTTGTACCCTTATTTCTAAAGTGCTAGTTGTCCCTTCCTTTGGCTGGCTAGGAACTGAGATCCTGATTCTGCAACAAATTGCAACTTGCTTCTCAATTTTTCCAGCAGATGGCATAATGTTCCAACACAGAACCCACCCCCTTCCCACCAAAAAGTACCTCTCAGCTGACTTTCTAGTCTGCAAATGCTTTCAGGCAGAAGCTATTATTTATCTCTTTATGCTCCTATTCTCACCTGTTTTCTCTTTTTTTTAAAAAAAACATTTTATTGATTTTTTACAGAGAGGAAGGGAGAGGGATAGAGAGTTAGAAACATTGGTGAGAGAGAAACATTGATCAGCTGCCTCCTGCATGCCCCCCACCGGGGATGTGCCTGCAGCCAAGGTACATGCCCTTGACCGGGAATCGAACTCGGGACCCCTTAGTCCAACACTCTGTTCACTGAGCCAAACCGGTTCAGGCTGTTTTCTCTTTTTGTTAGGATTTTATGCTGTTAATTTTTTTTTATTTCTTTCATCTTTTTATTTATTTTTTGAGGTACGTTTGGTCTAATCAGGTAGTTCACCATTACTATAAATCAAAGATCTATTAATACATGCCTTTTTCATTCATTTTGTTCCTAAATAGTGACTGTGGTACATTTTCATGTGTATATGTTTTGTTTACTTCCAGATTCAAGTGCCAAAAAGTCATGAATTGACTTACTGACCTTTATTTAGTTCATATACATATGCATATACATAATAAATGCTCAATAAAAATTGTTTATAAATGGATAGGACAGATGCAAGGTGCCTTAATTTATGAAATATACTTTCCTCCATAATATTAAATATTTTAAAATTAAAATTGATCTTAAATCGCACTCATATGTAGAATCTAAGTAATTAAATAAACTGATGAATGGAGTGGATCCAGAGACATGGAAGCATGGAATAAAGTGTGGAATCTCAGAGGGAAGACAGGGGAGGGTGGGTGGGAGGTAATCAACCAAAGACCTTGTATGCATAACCCATGGACACAGAGAGTGGGTGCTGAAGGCCTGGGGGTGTGAGACTACAGGGGGCTAATGGGGGAAAAAAGGGACATGAAATACTTTCAACAATAAATAATTATTTCAAAAAAATTGATCTTAGGTGAGGAGAGAGGGAAAGAGAGAGAGAGAGAGATCAGTCTGAGGGAATACATTAATCAGTTGCCTCTTAGTAAGACATTCAATCTCTAATATTTGGTTTCATTGTTTTATTATTATTCTAAGTGTTGGTGACCCTAGAAGATTCATTAGGTCCACAGGAGGAAAGGGTTCTGTGTCACCTTGAATAATGTTCTCATGCATCTCTGTATTACATAATTGAAGGAAATAATTAATGGCTTATCATTTAAGGCATTTGAAAGGAAATTTGACTTTTTAGTTTAAATTCAAAACTACAACTTTCAAGCAAAAGTGGCATCTTAGATCCAGTAACTTGTAATTATAGTTTCACTCTTTCTTGTGATGGACTAGAAACTTTAAAAAGACGAAATCTGTGGTGTACTATAAAGAAAACCAGAAAAGAAAGCACTAGGAAAGACACCAATGTAAATAGAAATGAATAAATGTCAATGTGAACCTTAGCATATATAGTGCCCTCTGAACATTTATTTTTTTGGTATTGTTTTAGGTATCGTCAGATCCTGGAAAAAGCCATTCAGTTATCTGGGGCAGAACAACTAGAAGCTTTGAAAGCTTTTGTGGAAGCAAGTAAGTGGAATGAAAATTCCATATTTGCCTTTGTATCACTGAGTAGGACTTTAAAGCTTGCCTCAGTCTTGTCTTATATCAAATTATCAATATAATTTTTATGAGATTAAATTAAATATACAGGGTGGGGCGAAGTTCATATGGAAAATAATACAATAATTAATAAATAATAAAACAAGAATAAACTGTTTTGCATACTCACAACATTGAAATTGATGGATTTATTTTAGAATTTAAACTATTTACACCTTGATTTTTAAAAATGAATTGTCTTCAGAGTTATAGTCCCAATTAAAATTTTGTATAGTAGTTGTATAAAATTTTGTAATAGAAACTGATAAGAGACAATGTAGCATAGTGACAAAGAAAGTAGACTGGATTCAAATCTTAGTCTACTGTTTTATTAACTGTGTCATCTTTAACCTCTTTGTGCCTTCTTTTCCTTGTCTATACGGTGAGGATATGATATGTACCCTATAGAATTGTTAGGAGATTAAATGAGTTATTATACATAATAAAGTGCTTAGAATAGTACCTGGCATATAGTAAGTGCTGTGTAAGAATGAACTGTTATTAATGTCAGGATCATTCCTTTTGAATAGGAACTAGAAATTTTCATATTTCATACACTCTCCCCCACTCCCTGACTTCAGTTATCTTGAAGATTACTCAAAATTCAGGCTGGAATTGATACTGCATTAACAATATCAGCAATACTTGATAGTACTTTACAATTTACAGTGTACGTTCACACATAATATCTATCACACAGGTTCCTTTTAATAACTGTGACTGCAGAGTATAGATATATTCTTGTATAATATATTGTAAAAAAAAGTCAAGATTTAGTCACTTTTACCCCCCCAGGGACATTCAGTTAGTCAGTGGCAGAGCCCAGACTAGAAACTAATATTTCTGATTTATTGTCCTTATTTACTTGTATTTCCCTGATAAGTCCTAGTTTCTGTAGTAAATCTTTTTAATAGCTTTATGTCTAATGGCACTTGTAATGAAACTGTTTTCTCAGTTACAACCAGTATTTAATAATGAATTCCAAATAATATAAACTGATTAATATATTAATACATTATAATATACTAGAGGCCTGGTGCATGAAATTCGTGCGGGGTGGGGGGGGGAGATGGGGGGCGGGGCGGGTCTGTCAGCCCGGCCTGCACCCTCTCACAGTCCAGGAACCCTCGGGGGATGTTCAACTGACCTAAGTTCTTATTTGTTGCCTTTTTTGGAAAGTATAAGTGGTATTCACTGTCTCTATTTGCTTTATTAAATTTCATGAAAATTATTTCACCTTTTTCTTCTTTAACTCCTTTTTGTAGCTAGGTGGGATATAAGGGCATAAATAAAAATAGGGGTATTTCTGTGCCTTTGCTTTGTATAAAAATGAAGAGAAAGGAATAATGTAAAATTCTCAGCTATTAAAACTTTTTGTCAACCATTTGTATTTCTTAGAGAAGTTATGGTAGTTTTACTATTTTGTTGAAGTCATAATTCAGTATAAGGAAAATGTATTCTGTAATATAGGATGATAGGGGTGTGAAAATCCAGGAATAATGCATTGCAGGTTGCACTAATACATACAGTTTTTAGTATTAATTTTAGGTAAAGATTGCTTAATAAAAAACTTATGAATTACTCATGCCTTCTTATTTCTTATTTTTTTGACAAGTGGTAAATGAGAATGTCAGCCTTGTGATCTCTCGGCAGTTGCTGACTGATTTCTGCACACATCTCCCTAACTTGCCTGATAGCACAGCCAAAGAAATCTATCATTTCACCTTGGAAAAGATCCAGCCTAGAGTCATTTCATTTGAGGAGCAGGTAAAAAATCTAGAGCAGTGATGTTTGAACTTGAGATAGTAGTAATTATTTTGAGAGATATTATTACATTTTTAAAGGAGATTATCATTCATTTTCATCTTGTCAAAATTGCACTAAACAGCATTTTACAATATATAATAAAATAAATATTAGGATATTGTAACTCCAGCTGACATTTGCCTATTTATTACAATTTTATTTTATGCACCAAAAGTTACTCTTTAGACAGTTTTTAAAAATCAGTTAAATTCTTAATTATGCTGAAAATAAAGGAAAACTCCAGCATTATCTATGCAGTAGCATAAAAGCAAAACTTCATATTTAAACTAAATTATTGCCATAATCCACATTGTGTGAAGCAAACTTCATATTTAAACTAAATTATTGCCATAATCCACATTGTATGAAGCAAAACTTAATATTTAAACTAAATTATTACCATAATCCACATTGTAATGTGCTATTTCAGTTTACTGTTTTGTTATTCTATCAATACAAAATTAATAGAAAAATTTGGGTGGTCTAGGTAAATTTTTAATAATTATACTTGCCAGCTTGCTATGTTGAATGAGACAATTGTTACAATTCAGTTATCTATTTATTTTAATTAGTTGAGTAATAGCAATTGATATAACATGTGTATCTACTATTTCAGGTTGCTTCCATAAGACAGCATCTTGCATCCATATATGAGAAAGAAGAAGATTGGAGAAATGCAGCCCAAGTGTTGGTGGGAATTCCTTTGGAAACAGGACAAAAGTATAATAAATAGTGGATATTGGATGGATATATATGTATCCATATATGTATATATACACATAACATATAAAGGATATGTATAATTGTTCATTATATTTTTCCTTACATTCTAGTGTTGGAAACAGATGATAAACAATTTAATAAATAAATAAATTTTGTAGTATATTAGAAGGTGATAAGGGCTATGAAGAAAAGTAAAGTAAGGTTGTATCATTAAATAGGGTGATTGGAGTGGTAGGGTGATTGGAATGGTAGGGTGATTGGAGTGGTAGGGTGATTGGAATGGTAGGGTGATTGGAGTGGTAGGGTGATTGGAATGGTAGGGTGATTGGAGTGGTAGGGTGATTGGAATGGTAGGGTGATTGGAGTGGTAGGGTGATTGGAATGGTAGGGTGATTGGAGTGGTAGGTGATTGGAATGGTAGGGTGATTGGAGTGGTAGGGTGATTGGAATGGTGTGTGATGGAGTGGAAAGGGTGATTGGAATGGTAGGGTGATTGGAATGGTAGGGTGATTGGAGTGGTAGGGTGATTGGAGTGTAGGGTGATTGAATGGTAGGGTGATTGGAGTGGTAGGGTGATTGGAATGGTAGGGTGATTGGAGTGGAGGGTGATTGGAATGGTAGGGTGATTGGAGTGGGTAGGGTGATTGGAATGGTAGGGTGATTGGAGTGGTAGGGTGATTGGAGTGGTAGGGTGATTGGAGTGGTAGGGGTGATTGGAGTGGTAGGGTGATTGGAGTGGTAGGGTGATTGGAGTGGTAGGGTGATTGGAGTGTAGGGTGATTGGAGTGGTAGGGTGATTGGAGTGGTATGGTGATTGGAGTGGTAGGGTGATTGGAGTGGTAGGGTGATTGAATGGTAGGGTATTGGAGTGGTAGGGTGATTGGAGTGGTAGGGTGATTGGAATGGTAGGGTGAGTGGAGTGTAGGTGATTGGAGTGGGAGGGTGATTGGAATGGTAGGGTGATTGGAGTGGTAGGGTGATTGGAGTGGTAGGGTGATTGGAGTGGTAGGGTGATTGGAGTGGTAGGGTGATTGGAGTGGTAGGGTGATTGGAGTGGTAGGGTGATTGGAATGGTAGGGTGATTGGAGTGGTAGGGGTGATTGGAGTGGTAGGGTGATTGGAGTGGTAGGGTGATTGGAGTGGTAGGGTGATTGATTGGAATGGTAGGGTGATTGGAGTGGTAGGGTGATTGGAATGGTAGGGTGATTGGAGTGGTAGGGTGATTGGATGGTAGGGTGATTGGAATGGTAGGGTGATTGGAGTGGTAGGGTGATTGGAGTGGTAGGGTGATTGGAATGGTAGGGTGATTGGAGTGGTAGGGTGATTGGAGTGGTAGGGTGATTGGAGTGGTAGGGTGATTGGAGTGGTAGGGTGATTGGAGTGGTAGGGTGATTGGAGTGGTAGGGTGATTGGAGTGGTAGGGTGATTGGAGTGGTAGGGTGATTGGAGTGGTAGGGTGATTGCATTGAGTGTAGGTGAGTGGTGTAGGGGATTGGAGTGGTAGGGGTTGATTGGATGGTAGGGTGATGTGACTGGTAGGGTGATTGGAATGGTAGGGTGATTGGAGTGGTTAGGGTGATTGGAGTGGTAGGGTGATTGGAAGTGGTAGGGTGATTGGAGTGGTAGGGTGATTGAGTGGTAGGGTGATTGGAGTGGTAGGGTGATTGGAGTGGTAGGGTGATTGAGTGGTAGGGTGATTGGAGTGGTAGGGTGATTGGAGTGGTAGGGTGATGGAGTGGTAGGGTGATTGGAGTGGTAGGGTGATTGGAGTGGTAGGGTGATTGGAGTGGTAGGGTGATTGGAATGGTAGGGTGATTGGAGTGGTAGGGTGATTGGAATGGTAGGGTGATTGGAGTGGTAGGGTGATGGATGGTAGGGTGATTGGAGTGGGTAGGGTGATTGGATATGGTAGGGTGATTGGAGTGGTAGGGTGATTGGAGTGGTAGGTGAGGGTGATTGGAGTGGTAGGGTGATTGGAGTGGTAGGGTGATTGGAGTGGTCGGGTGATTGGAGTGGTAGGGTGATTGGAGTGGTAGGGTGATTGGAGTGGTAGGGTGATAGGAGGGGAAGGGTGATTGGAGTGGTAGGGTGATTGGAATGGTAGGGTGATTGGAGTGGTAGGGTGGTTGGAGTGGTAGGGTGATTGGAGTGGTAGGGTGATTGGAGTGGTATGGTGATTGGAGTGGTTGGGAGATTGGAGTGGTAGGGTGATTGGAGTGGTAGGGTGATTGGAGTGGTAGGGTGATTGGATGGTAGGGTGTGATTGGAGTGGTAGGGTGATTGGAATGGTAGGGTGATTGGAGTGGTAGGGTGATTGGAGTGGTAGGGTGATTGGAGTGGTAGGGTGATTGGAGTGGTAGGGTGATTGGAGTGGTAGGGTGATTGGAGTGGTAGGGTGATTGGAGTGGTAGGGTGATTGGAGTGGTAGGGTGATTGGAGTGGTAGGGTGATTGGAGTGGTAGGGTGATTGGAGTGGTTAGGGTGATTGGAGTGGTAGGGTGATTGGAGTGGTAGGGTGATTGGAGTGGTAGGGTGATTGGAGTGGTAGGGTGATTGGAATGGTAGGGTGATTGGAGTGGTAGGGTGATTGGATTGGTAGGGTGATTGGAGTGGTAGGGTGATTGGAGTGGTAGGGTGATTGGAGTTGGTAGGGTGATTGGAGTGGTAGGGTGATTGGAGTGGTAGGGTGATTGGAGTGGTAGGGTGATTGGAGTGGTAGGGTGATTGAGTGGTAGGGTGATTGGAGTGGTAGGGTGATTGGAGTGGTAGGGTGATTGGAGTGGTAGGGTGATGGAGTGGTAGGGTGATTGGAGTGGTAGGGTGATTGGAGTGGTAGGGTGATTGGAGTGGTAGGGTGTTGGAGTGGTAGGGTGATTGGAGTGGTAGGGTGATGGAGTGGTAGGGTGATTGGAGTGGTAGGGTGATTGGAGTGGTAGGGTGATGGAGTGGTAGGGTGATTGGATTGGTAGGGTGATGGGTGGTAGGGTGATTGAGTGGTAGGGTGATTGGAGTGGTAGGGTGATTGGAGTGGTAGGGTGATTGGAGTGGTAGGGTGATTGGAGTGGTAGGGTGATTGGAGTGGTAGGGTGATTGGAGTGGTAGGGTGATGGAGTGGTAGGGTGATTGGTTTGGTAGGGTTATTGGAGTGGTAGGGTGATTGGAGTGGTAGGGTGATTGGAGTGGTAGGGTGATTGATTGGAATGGTAGGGTGATTGGAGTGGTAGGGTGATTGGAGTGGTAGGGTGATTGGAGTGGTAGGGTGATTGGAGTGGTAGGGTGATCCTGATACCACCTCAGGATTTTGAAGGAGGTAAGTGAGCGGCTTTGAACTCTCTGAGGGAAGAGTATTAGTAGATCCTCTTAGAGAGGATGGCTTGTGCAGAGGCCCTAAAATGGAAGCATGCTTGGGGTTTTTTAAGAAGAGCAAGGAGAGCGTTATCGGTGGAATGGAGTGAGCAAAGGGGAGAGCGATAGAGGATGAGATCAGAGAGTACTAAGGACTAGATTATGTGGGGTCTTGTAAGCCATTCTCAGACCTTTGTATTTTCTTTAAGTGAAATGAGGGGGAACCATTGGAACATATTTTACAGAAGACTGACATATTTTTAAGACTCATTCTGACTACTGAGTTGAGAATAAACTGTAGGCATGCAATGATGGAAGTAGGGCCATTAGGAGGTCTTATGCACTACTGCAGATGAAATGGAGAGTGTGAAAAATGTTGGATTCTGGGTATGTTTTTAAGGTAGATATGGAGTGTAAGAAAAAGAATCAAGATAAGTTTTGATTTTTAGTTTGAACAACTGGAAAAATGGAGTTGCCATGTATTGAATGGAGAAGAATAGGTTTTGAGGGAAGGTCAAGAGTTCTGTTTCCGACATGTGGTAACCAAGTGGAAATATCTTGTACAGAGTTGAATATATTAGTTTGGAATTTAGGAGAGAGGACTGGACTAGGGATATATATATATTTGGGAATCATTGATATATAGATGGAATTTAAAGCCATTATTGTGGATGAGATCTCCAAGGGAGGGACTATAGATAGAGAAGAGGATTGAGTATTGAGGCCAGGAGCACTCCAATATTAAGAGGTCAGGGGTAAGAGGAAGATACAGCAAATGAAGATTGTCCATTGAGGTAAAAAGAAAACCAGAATGGGGTGTGTGGTGTCCTAGAAGTTAAATGAGGAAAATGTATTGAGAAGGAGCAAGTGATTAGCTGTTGTGCTGATAGGTCAAGTAAGATGACTGAGTTAGTAACATGGAGGTCATTGGAGATCTTGACAAAAGTTGTTTTGGTGAATTGGTGAGCGTGAAAGCCTGACTGAAGTTGTTTAAAAGAAAAGAAGTACTCACTTCGGCAGCACATATACAAAAGAGAGAGAAAGAGAGAGAGGGAGGGAGAGAGAAGGGAAAAGAGAAATTGGAGATGGTGAGCAGTTGTCATGGACAACTCTGTGGGGAAGTTTTCACAAGGGGAGCAGAGAAATAGGGTAGAAGATGATAGCAAAGGTTAGGTTAAGAGATTATTTTTACTTTTATGATCTAATGGAAAGCAAAAGTTTTATATAGGAGAGTAGTGGAGAGGATTCCTGCAGGAGTAAACAAGAGGGGAAGGAATCTAGTGGAGGGATAGGCTTTATTTAGGAGCATAGATAGTTCATCTTGGCACTGTTTCTCAACCTTGGCACTGTTGGCATTATATATATATAATTTATTTCAGGGAGAAGGAGAGAGAGATAGAAAAATCAATGATGAGAGAAAAATCATCGATTGGCTGCTTCCTGCATGCCCCCACTGGGGATTGAGCCTGTAACCTGGGCATGTGCCCTGATCAGGAATTGAACCGTGACCTCCTGGTTCATTAGTCGATGCTCAACCACTGAGCCGCGCCAGATGGGCAGCACTGTTGGCATTTTAGATAGGATGACTCTTTGTTGGGGAGGCTGTCCTGTGTGTTACAAAATGTTTAGCAACATTAGGGGCCTCTATTCACTAGATGCCAATAGCGCCACTACTCCCAGTTTTGACAATAAAGAAAATGTCTGCAGATATTGCCATAGGTTCCCTGGTGGCAGAATAGTAATAGTTAGGAAAACAGAGTATGTGGGTGCAGATATTAATGAGGTGGTGTTGGAGTTGGTGCAGCTACTCTGATTGCTTCAGTATTCTTAGTGAAGTTGGAGCCAGAGTCATCAGCTAGAAGTGTGGTTTGGGATGGGAGTTGTAAGGTTGAAAGACAAGAACATAAAAAAAAAAAAAATTCTCTAGAAGAGTGGGGCAGTAAATGGACTAAGAATGTATAGTATACTTGGCAGCATTAAGGGCTCATTTGAAGGTTGTAGTGATTAAAATGAGATCAGTCAGATTGGTTAAATATTTTTCTCCAGTAGAGTTCAGTTTCATGGTTGCAGGAAAGGAGTGGGTGAACTGTTAGGTTTAACTAGAGTTTGATTTTTTCCAACAAGTATGACAGCATGAGAGAGACAAGGGAGGTGAGTACATGTGCAATTCAATGATTATGACTGATTAAAAGAGTTAAGATAGGTAAGGAGAGAAATGAGGCCTTTTAGGGGAAGAAGACAGCAATGTAATAGGATCACGGGTTTGGAGGTCACAATGGGTTCAATGAATTGTTGGGTTTGGGATACTAGAGAAAGATACTAGAAACGGAAAAACAATGAGAAAATTAAGACTATGGTTTGTAACTCTTATTCAACCAATCTTGCCTTTTTATGTGTATTTATGAAACATTCATCCAAAGTTTACTGTACAAAAAGATTGAAAGGTGTGAGACTCTTGATTGTATTATTAGACACATTTCTCCTTTTAGTAGGCAAATATAAAAATATATTCAGCTGCTTCTCTTTTGCCAGGTGAATGAGGGATTCTGTATTATGTCTCCATTAATATTTGTTGTGATAAGGCAGATACTACTTCAGGCATATTGCCTTTAGTGAATTTTTTAAATTGTTAGGCAGTGATGCTCTTTGAAAAAGAAGCCAGTATATGAAAAGATGTTCATATGTAGGCTTTCATAAGGAGGCTTTTACTTTCTTTTTTTAAAAAAAATATTTTTTAATATATTTTATTGAGTTTTTACAGAGAAGAAGGGAGAGGGATAGAGAGTTAGAAACATCGATGAGAGAAACATCGATCAGCTGCCTCCTGCACACCCCCTACTGGGTATGTGCCCGCAACCAAGGTGCATGCCCTTGACCGGAATCGAACCTGGGACCCCTGAGTCTGCAGGCCGACGCTCTATCCACTGAGCCAAACTGGTTAGGGCAGGAGGCTTTTACTTTCTAAAGCCTCTTGTTAATTCTTTTTTCTTTGCTATTTTGAAAGGGTGGGGCTTTCTTAATTGTTTTGGTCTTATTCTGTCTGGAGCATTTTCTCCTTAGCATAGAGCAGTTGACTTATTTTCATTGGTAGTTGAAATAAATATAAAATTAGATATTCTTTGCAGTGGTGGTAACTATCATTTTGATAGTTCTGTAACACTGTAGTTACTGTGAGGATACCAAAGAAATGAAAATTTAATTATTTTCTAAATAAGTTAAAATAAAGTAAAAGTGATTAAAAGTTGAATTTGTTTATTAAGTAAAGAATTAATTTCAAATCTGGGGCAAAGTCAATTGTAAACTCTGTTGCCACATAGTGGCATCACTTTTGCTGGTAAATAGGATTAATTTTTCTGTGAGGATTAATCTTGAATTACATGATTTTTGGATTATGTAGGGTCTTAAGTTATGTATATCTTGCATAAAATGTGACCACTGGGATAAAGAAGAAAGGAAAACCACTTGTAATCTTACCACCCAGAGATAATTGCTACTATTATCTTATTTTATCCAGTTTTTTAACTTAGCTAAAATATAGGATGACTATTATCACATGGTAATTATTGTAATAACGGTATAGTATTCTACCAGTATTCAATTCAATTGAATACCATAAATATTATCAGTGATTTCCATTTTCCCCCATTATAGATATTTATGGATAATTTTACAAATGACTGTCTTTGTACATACATATATATGCATGTCCATGATTATTTTCTTGGGATTTATTTTCTAGGGGTAAAATATAAGGTGTGGAAAAAGAGGTTTACAGTTCATATGGAAAAATAATATAATAATAAATAATAATATAAGAATATACTGTGTTTAGTGTACTCTCAACTATAAACCTACTTTTGCCCCACCCTGTATAATGGGTAAGGAGTATACGCAATTTAAAGGATTCAAATGATAGTTGGAGAACATATTGCCAATTTTTTCCCCAGGACTTATTTATAGTCCTACCAGTAGTATATGTTAGATCTTTGACTTATGAGATTATCTGAGAATTAGAAGAAGCTAAACTGTAATATGAATAATGATAAAAGTAATAAAAATTAATTAAAACTTATTTTAGAAATATTTCTTAGCTTTTCGATAATATGCAGTAAAAAGCTTGAGTCCATCACATTTTCTACCACTTCTAATAATTTTTTTGATAAAATAGTCATTTGTGTTTTTCTGTTGTATTCTAGACAGTACACTGTGGATTATAAACTGGAGACATACCTGAAGATTGCTAGGCTATATCTAGAGGATGATGACCCAGTCCAGGCAGAGGCTTACATAAATCGAGCATCATTGCTTCAGAATGAGTCAACCAACGAACAGTTACAGATACATTATAAGGTAAACAGATGAGCTTATTTAGAATTTTGTATTGGAGAATCCTGTTATACTAAGACTAGAGGCCCGGTGTGGGGGGCAGGGGAAGAGGGGGGTGATGTCCCTCAGCCTGGCCTGCACCCTCTCCAATCCAGGACCCCTCAGGGGATGTCCGACTGACAGTTTAGGTTGGACATTCCTCTCACAATCTGGGACCGCTGGCTCCTAACTACTCACCTGCCTGCCGGCCTGAACATCCTAACTGCTCTCCCCTGCCGGCCTGATTGCCCCTAACTGCCTCTGCCTCGGCCCTGCCACCATGGCTTTGTCCGGAAGGATGTCCGGAAGGTTGTCCAGATGATGTCCGGTCTAATTAACATATTACCCTTTTATTGGTATAGATTCTCCAGAACATCATAAATACTATTATATATTAGAAATTCTCTCTTTTTTTATTTTTTGCTTTTGCTTTAAAAATGTCCCCCCTAATGGAAACATTTCTCTCCTATAGGTATGCTATGCACGTGTTCTTGATTATAGAAGAAAATTCATTGAAGCTGCGCAAAGGTACAATGAGCTCTCTTACAAGACAATAGTGCACGAAAGTGAAAGACTAGAGGCCTTAAAACATGCTTTGCACTGTACCATCTTAGCATCAGCAGGTAAACATGTCAATTATGTGTTAATGAACAGTCAATTTTCTTAATATTTTAGGTTCATTATTACTAAAGGATTTAGCAAAGGGATGTCTTATTAATACAATTATGGTATATTTAGTTTAAACATTTAAACAGGAACAGCAATAAAATGGATTGCAAACCTAAAAAATTTTTAATTATGAATGTATCAGTCTATTACCCACAGGTATTAGGAATAGTTAAGAGGTAATATGAAATTTAATTCTCCTAAAATATCACTGAAAAACATGGATATAAAATTAAGTGAGAATTACACAGAAGGAGATAAAAATTAAATTCTAGAGATTGGTGATATGAAAATTAATGTATTGCTTTTTTTTTTTTTTAAATATATTTTATTGATTTTTTACAGAGAAGAAGGGAGAGAGATAGAGAGTTAGAAACATCGATGGGAGAGAAACATCGATCAGCCGCCTCCTGCACATCTCCCACTGGGGATGTGCCCGCAACCCAGGTACATGCCCTTGACCGGAATCGAACCTGGGACCCCTCAGTCCGCAGGCCGACGCTCTATCCACTGAGCCAAACCGGTTTCGGCAATGTATTGCTTTTGGGATTTTTTCTTTTAATCTTCAAGCCTCAGTTTTAGACTTGGCATTTATCTTTTTTATCAATAAATATAAGTAAACTATTTTTTGTTCTTTTTACTAAATTTTAGCATATAAATCACTCAACTTATAAAGCAGAAAGGGCATTGAGAAGATATGCTGAGAATTCTAAGCCATGGCTTTTCTAAATCATTTTAGAATTTTTATTAAATATATTACCACTGATCTCATCAGAAAATTCTTTAATTATTGGAAAGCTGTCTAGCTCATTGTGGCAGATGGACGTGTTCCAAAATTTCTGTGTTATTTGTTTTTGTTGAAAACTCGAATTTTATCAGGGGCCACAAATACTGTTGATTGATAGTGACAGGCTCACTTTGTTATTTTTTAAAAAATATGTTTTCATTGATTTTATAGAGAGAAGGGTAGGGGGAGGCAGAGACAGAAACATCCATTGGCTGCTGCTTGCATGCCCCCTGGGAATTGAGCCTGCAACCTGGGCATGTGTCCTGACCAGGAATTGAACCGGCTACCCCTTGGTGCACAGGAGGACGCTCAACTAATTGAGCCCCACCAGCCAAGACCACTTTGTTCATTTTTAAGAAAAATGCCTGCCAAATACCCATGCCTGAAAAACTGTAACTTATCAGTCATTATTTTATGTAAATGATGTTCCATGAAAAAAGAAACTGCATTTTCCATTTCATCACATAAAATATTAAAAAGATATAGTTTCAAGTATCAAGAATTAATAAAAATAATTTTTTACTGCTGCAAGAACATTTTAAAGTGCAACTATATTTTTATTTTGACTGTTGAGTGTGTGGCATAATACAGTATGGCACCCATGTCACTGCCTTGGTTTGTGCTGTGACTTTCATGCCTTCTCCTGCTCACTACCTCCAACTCCCTCTCTCAAACAGTAATCACTAGTGTAGATTATTTTTGTCTACTTTGTACTTAAATTTACCTATAAATCCCAATTCATTAGGATTTATTTTAGTGTAAGGAATGAGATAGGGAAATTAATTTTTTTTCTTAAATGACTAGTCGTTTGACCTAGCATCCTTTATTGAACAATCCATGTTTTTCTTCCTATTGATTTAAAGCACATTATAGTAGATTTCTGGACACAGTATTGTTTCATTAATTAGCCTGTCTATGAATATACTGGTACCATGCTCTTTCAATTATTATAGCTTCATAACATGTTTTATTATCTAGCAGGTATACTCTCTCTTCAAAGTAATTTGTAGGCCATCATGACATTCCCTTCTTATATCATCATGCATCACCTAAGAATAAGAACATTTTTCTACATGACTGTAGTACCATTGTCATCCCTAAAAAAATTAACTGAGTCAACTGTAGAATTTAGCATTTGGTCTGTCATTGCCCAAGTTGGAATATCTTTTGTATCTGCCTTTTTCCCTGCTGAACAAGGGACAAGTTCATGTGTGGCATTTGGTGATTGTCTTTTTAGTCTTCAAACATTTTTGGTCTAGAATAGATTCCTCACCCCTAACTGAAGTTTCTTGAGATATAATTAACATATAACATTATAGAGTTTTCTCACTTAAAAAAAATACTCTTTGAAGTTGTTGTGTGGAATGTTCTTCACTCTAGATTTGTTTTGTATATATTATTTATTGCTTAATCCCAATTATTTCCTGTAAAGTAGAAGTTAGCCAAAGGTTAGATTAGATCCAGGTTAAAATTTTTCTATTAAGAATACCTCATAGCGATGCTTTGTCCTTGTAGTTGTATTATATCAGAAAACATATAATGTCAGGTTGTCCCACAGTTAGTGATGCTGAGTTTGGTCATTTGGTTAAGGTAGAAATTCCATTTTAAAGGTATTTTATTCCCTTTATATTTTGTAAATAATTTCTGGGGTGCTGCTTTGACACTGCAAAAATCCTGTTCCCTAACTTTTGATAATTTATTATCTATTAATTTTTTTCTGGATCATTCATTATATTCTATAATATAAACTGAAAATGGTAATTTATTAATTCTGTTCTACATTTATTAGCTACTACTACATAAAAACTTTTCTCTATTTCCCTCCTTTTTATTTTTTAGTATCACTATGGACTTTTTTTCTGCTTATTATTGTGTGTGTATAATATACACACATGAAAAATGCACATATAAAAATTGTACAGCCTGATGAATTGTCCCAAATGAACATCATCATGTAATCAACATCCAGAACCAGAAGCAAAATATTATCGTTATCCTGAAAGCCTTTGTCATGCTTTCTCTTAGTTATTAGCCCTCCCCACCTCCGAGAGTAATCATTAGTATATACTAGTTTTACCTGCTTCATTTGCTTAACTTTATAAAATTTATCCATATTGTAACATATAGTTTCTTCATTTTCATTGTTATGTAGTATTCTATTATGTGACCATACCACGATTTTTTTTATCCTATTGGGTAGTTTTGTTGTTGTTAATCCTCACCCGAGGATATTTTTCCCATTGATTTTTTTTTTTAGAGAGAGTGGAAGTGAGGGAATGGACGGGGAGAGAGACAGAAAGAAATATTGATATGAGAGAGACATGTGATTGCTTGCCTCCCACACGCTCCCTACTGGGCCCGGGGATCAAACCTGCAACCCAGATATGTGCCTTTGACTGGAATCAAACCCATGTCCCTTTGGTTCTCAGGCCGATGCTCTAACCACTGAGAACACCAGCCAGGGCTTTGGGTAGTTTCTTATTGGCTATTAGGAATAGTATTTCTATAAACATTCTTGTGTATTTGACTTTGTTTTTTATTTATTCAGTGTGTTATTATTATAGTTATTGTTCTTTTTGATGTTACATTATCCCAAATATTACCAAATCATGTCTTTTTGACATGGCCCCATTAAACTTTGAATACTTGTCTGCATTGCAGCATAAAAAGATGCCTTAGACTTATCTTGTATTTTTCCTTTCCTTACTTGAAATCAGCTTATTTCAAGGATCCCTACTCTCTTTTAATGGAGATACCAAAATCAGGGTGCTAGATATGCTTTTTGCTACTGGGTGTCATTGTGGTTAGGCTCTTTAGAATACAGAGCTAAAAATACATTTAAAAAGAAAAAGTTTGTTCATAGTATCTTTTCCATTAGTTCAATTTTTAATATAATCAATTGTCACATAATTTTTCATCATTTAAAGATCCTTGAAAGTATAAATTTCCCATTAGAGAAATATTTGTTCATCTTTTATAAAATTTTTTATTATTACCAAAGGAATGCATGTTCATTGTAGAAATACAAATAAGCAAGAAGAAAGTAGCAATTAGCTATAATTTGAACCACTTGTTGCATTTTGGTATCTATCCTAATCTTCACAAATGAATATACTGCTGTTTCTCATTATTCCATATTTGTGCATTTGCCTACTTGCTAAAATTTGTCACTCCAAAATCAACACTCATGGTGCTTTCCCAGTCATTTGCAAACTTGTGCAGAACAGCAAATGATTTGAGTCTCCCAATGTATGTTTCCAGCTGGAGTTAACTAAGACAGTGCTCTGCCTCCTTGTTTCTGCTCTCATGCTGTAAACAAGTTCTTTTTTGTGGTCTGTTACTATTATGTTTTTCATGTTTTTGATGGTGATTTTGATGTTTGAAATGGGCCCTAAGCTAGTGCTGAAGTACTGTCTTGTGTTCTTAAGTGAAGGAAGTCTGTGATGTACCTGATAAAGAAAATGCATGTATTAGATAAGCTTTATTCAGGCATGAGTTTTAGTGTAGGCCATGAGTTCAGTGTTATTGAATCAACAATATACAGTAAATAAGGTGCCTTTAAACAGAAACATACATAAAGCAAAGGTTACATATTGATTAGCTGACAAAAATGTTGTAACTAGAGGCTCACAACATTCCTGTATTTCTCCTAGGAACAGCAATTGAGTATTTACTAATTTACTGTTGACATCAACTTTATAAAACACTAGAGGCTCAGTGCATGAAATTCGTGCACAGGTAGGATCCCTAGCGGCTGCTGGCTGCTGACTGGGGCCTCCCTTCCCGGCTGCCGGCCTGGGCCTTCCTTAGTTCTGCTCCGCCCCCTGGTGGTCAGTGCACATCATAGCGAGCAATCAAACTCTTGGTCGGTCAAACTCCCAAGGGGACACTTTGCATATTAGGCTTTTATATATATAGATAACTACTACAAATAATGACAATTGACTGAATATTTTAGTAGGCAAAAATGGGGTCATAAGAAAGATTGTTTTTCAGTGATGAAATAGGTTGTGAGAATGTTTAATGCACATTTGTTTTCCTTAGGGCAACAACGTTCTCGAATGCTAGCTACTCTTTTTAAGGATGAAAGGTGCCAGCAACTTGCTGCTTATGGGATCCTAGAGAAAATGTACCTGGATAGGATCATCAGAGGAAATCAACTTCAAGAATTTGCTGCCATGCTAATGCCTCACCAAAAAGCAACTACAGCTGATGGTAATTATCATGTCTAATAACTATGTGGTAATGAATATTTAGGTACATGCTAGTGGAAAGTATATTGAAAGTATATTAAATTTGAAGCATCTTGATATCTTCCTGTAACATTGTTATATATCACTTGATTAAAAAAAACATTGACTGGGGTTGAGTATCAGACATAGATAGGGGTTTGAAGTATAAAAATAGCCCAATTGGAAAGCATTTTGTGGAATTACGCATTTTAGGGAAATGGTAAGAATTATAGGGTAGGCTTATAGTTACTGGTTTTTAAAAAGTTCAAACCATGTGATAAGTACCTAAATTAATCTCAAATATTAGTTTAATAATTATCGAGTCTAATTTTAGCTTTAACAAAATTTGGCACTTTAGCTTGCCCAAGGTTATTCAGGGTGAAATTGTTCCAATAAGAATAGAACTTGATTTCATGTTTCCTAGTTAAGGGATGTATTTGCTTAAGTCAGATTGCTTTTGCCAGGAAAGAAATTTTAATAGATACTTGTTCATAACATCGTTTATTTTACAGGTTTTAAAGTAGCTCATATCAATAACCACATGATTAAAATGTAGTTGTAGAAACATCAGAAATCTGGAAAAGGTTAAAATAAACATGCAGATCTGTTAGACTCACTCCTTTGGATTTACTGTCATCCTATTGAAGATAATTTAGCTGTTCTTTAAAGAGTAATTTATGAGTCTTGGCTGGATAGCTCAGTTGGTTAGAGCATCGTCCTGATACACCAGGGTTTTGGGTTAGATCTCTGGTTAGGGCACATACAAGAAGCAACCAATGAATACACAGATAAGTGAAACAACAAATCGACATATCTGTCTTTCTCTCCCTCTCTTCCTCTCCTGATCTCGCTCTCTGTCCTCCTTTCTTTTTCTCTAAAATCAATAAAAAATAAAAATAAAAAAAGAACAATATGTTTTTTTTTTTTTTAAAAGAAGTCATTTTTGTAGAATTTGGCTGAAAGATGTGCAGTTCACCCAGTCCTACTTTCCTGAGTTAAACCAGAACAGTGAAGGGATTAGATTGACCTTCTATTGAATTTCTTTTATTTAATTGCACTTAGAACAGTGGTTCTCAACCTTCCTAATACAGTTCCTCATGTTTTGGTGACCCCCAAACATAAAATTATTTTCGTTGCTGCTTCATAACTGTAATTTTGCTACTGTTATGAATCGTAATGTAAATATCTGATATGCAGGATATATTTTCATTGTTACAAATTGAACATAATTAAAGCATAGTGATTAATCACAAAAACAATATGTAATTATATATGTGTTTTCCGATGGTCTTAGGCGACTCCTGTGAAAAGGTCATTCGACCCCCAATAGGGTCGAGACCCACAGGTTAAGAACCGCTGACTTAGAAGAAGGAAACGAATTGATTCTCTTTCTGTCTAAAGCAGATATTTTTTTCTATAGGATACTCTTTATGCAGATCCTCAGGAAAAATTCCTTTTCAGTCTTAGGATTACTTGTGATTCTCCTGAGCAGTTGGTTTTTGTCTTATTTAAAAACAATGTGAATTAATAAATCGATTGGTTTTCTTAATTTGGTTAGCTGCTAGAAAGCTTAAATTTGTATTCCACCTGTAAATAGTGTGTGTATGTGTTTTGATTGTTACTACTCTAGTTTTTCTTTTACTTAAAAAAAATTTTTTTGAGGTGACATTGGTGAATAAGATTATATAAATTTCAAGTGTACTATATTATATCATTTGTATATTGTATTGTGTGCTCATCACCTCTTGTACTTTCTAAAAAAATATATTTTTATTGATTTTAGAGAGGAAGGGAGAGGGAGAGAGATAGAGATAGAAACATCAATGATGAGAATCATTGATTGGTTGCCTCCTGCACACCCCTCACTAGGGATCAAGCCTGCAACCCAGTCATGTGACCTGTCTGGGAATTGAACTGTGACCTTCTGGTTCATGGGTGATGTTCAACCACTGAGCCATGCTAGCCGGGCTCCTCTCTTTTACTTTTAAGTTATATTTTGTGCATTTTTATGAGCAGCATTAACTCCTTTTTGCAAGATATCCGACAAACAAGTTAAAAGCTAGATAAATAAGAAAAGGTTTCCATACTCGATATACTTGAGCTTCAGATTTGACTTTGAGCTTTTTTTTTTTAATTAAATCTTTATTGTTCAGATTATTACATTTGTTCCTCTTTTTCCCCCCCATAACTCCCCTCCTCCCAGTTCCCACCCCACCCTTCTCCCTCACTCCTGACCCACTGTCCTCATCCATAGGTGCACAATTTTTGTCCAGTCTCTTCCCGCATCCCCCACACCCCTTTCCCCCCCAAGAATAGTCAGTCCATTCCCTTTCTATGTCCCTGATTCTATTATAATCACCAGTGCATTCTGTTCATCAGATTATTTATTCACTTGATTTTTAGATTCACTTGTCGATAGATGTGTATTTGCTGTTCATAATTTGTATCTTTACCTTTTTCTTCTTCTTCCTCTTCTTAAAGGATACCTTTCAGCATTTCATATAATACTGGTTTGGTGGTGATGAGCTCCTTTAGCTTTTTCTTATCTGTGAAGCTCTTTATCTGGCCTTCAATTCTGAATGATAGCTTTGCTGGATAAAGTAATCTTGGTTGTAGGTTCTTGGCATTCCTCACTTTGAATATTTCTTGCCACTCCCTTCTGGCCTGCAAAGTTTCTGTTAAGGTTGAGAAATCAGCTGACAGTCATATGGGTATTCCCTTGTAGGTAACTGAGTTTCTTTCTCTTGCTGCTTTTAAGAGTCTCTCTTTGTCTTTTGCTCTTGGCATTTTAATGATGATGTGTCTTGGTGTGGTCCTCTTTGGATTCCTTTTGTTTGGGGTTCTCTGCGCTTCCTGGACTTGTAAGTCTATTTCTTTCACCAGGTAGGGGAAGTTTTCTGTCATTATTTCTTCAAATAGGTTTTCAATGTCTTGCTCTCTCTCTCTCTTCTGGCACCCCTATAATTCGGATGTTGGTGCGCTTGAAGTTGTCCCAGAGGCTCCTTACACTATCTTCGTATTTTTGGATTCTTTTTTAATTTTGCTTTTCTGGTTGGGTGTTTTTTGCTTCTTCGTATTTCAAATCTTTGACTTGATTCTTGTGATCCTCTGGTCTGCTGTTGGGAGTCTGTATAATATTCTTTATTTCAGTCAGTGTATGCTTAATTTCTAGTTAGTCCTTTATCACAACCTTGAGGGTCTCATTAGATTTCTTGAGGGTCTCATTAAGTTTATCGGCAGTTTCTAGAAAATTCTTGAAAAACCTCAAAAGTGTGGTTTTGAACTCTATATCCAGTAGTTTGCTTTCCTCCATTTCTGTCATTTGTGTCCTTTTTCTTTGTCTCGACCTTTTTTATTCTTCGCTGTGTCGATAGAGTGGCTTTCTGTGCTAAGTGTCCTATAGGGCCCAGTGGCTCAGTCTCCCCAATTACCTGAGGTAGACACTCTTGGTGCACCGCCTTGTGGGCTTTGTGCACAGTCTTGTTGTAGTTAAGCCTTGATTGTTGTAGGTATCACTGGGAGGAATAGACCTCTAGGCCAATTGGCTGTGAGAATCAGCTGTGTCTGCAGTGGGAGAACTTCTGTGCTGAAGACACCCTTCTGGGGCAAGACTTGTTTCAGTGGGGCTTTGGTGCTCACTGAATCTGCCCCCTGAGTGTGTCCCTTATGGATCTGAGGAGTTGTAATTGGATGGTCCCACTCTGACCACTGGGTACACTGGTTCTTGGATCTAAGGAGGTGCTAATTAGCCTCTGCCTGAGGCTACCCAGCAGAAGCCAGCTGTAAAGCAATGCAAGTTGCCCTGGGGCCTTGGGGCACTGCAGTTTGTTAAGTAATTTTCAGATTACGAAGGGCTGGGCCTTTCATATGCAAAAGCCTCCGTGCACCACTTGGGCAGGGCGGGGTCCCAGGGGATCAACAGGGCGGGCGGAGCGAGCAGTATGGCTGCTCTCAGTCCTGCCCTCAGATGCCCCGGCAATCGCTGCGAGCACCTCCGAGAGAAAGCTGTCCTCGAGTCCCGACCGATGCCAGACAGTCCTGTTTCTTCCGTATGAGTCTGGGTCCCCAGTGACTTGCCCAGAACTGGAGTTCAGAGCCTGAGACTCCCTCCCGATTGAAGAAGACAATCGTGTCCTCAGCCGCCAGGCCTCTCCGCATGCACCTCCGCACCTTTGTATTTTATTTCCGCACTGCACCTTCTCTGAGTCAGTATGCCTTTCTCTTTCCTTCTAGTTGTAGAATTTCCACTCAGCCAGCCTTCCTGTGGTTCTGGATGATGTCCGTTCCGTCTTTTAGTTGTATTTTTGAAGTAGTTGTGCGAGGCAGCAATCTCCGGTGTTTACCTATGCTGCCATCTTGGTTTCTCTCAACTTTGAGCTTTCTGACCATGAAAAAAAGAAAAGATATAATCAGATGATTCTGTTCTAAAAAGAGGGATACTCATTAGTCTCTGTGAGAATGAAAATGATTTTCAAATTTGTCACATGGGGCTGTATAGATAGAACAGATGTTTTGTCTTCTTCCTCTTTCATTTTAGATATTATTGCTTTCTTTGTTTATTTTTCTTGGACATTTTTATTTACTGTCACTACAATCTTAGGCTAGCAATCTTTTATATTAGTTTAGGCTAGCAGTCTTGACACATAATATAGTCCCAGAGCTGTGGAACATTAAGAGTAATCTATTTCCTGCTCTATAGACCTGCCTGTTCTGGATATCCTATAAGATAAAGTGCCCGGTTGTCCATTCAACCAAAGTGTAATATGCTAAGGATATGCTAAGGATGCTCAACCACTCACTATGACGTGCACTGACCACCAGGGGGAAGACACTCTGACCAGTAGATTAGCTTGCTGCTGGGGTCCGGCTGATTGGGACTGAGCGAGAAGGGCTGGACATGCCCTGGATTCCTCCCGCGGCCCCTCTCTGGCTGGCCAACCTCCCGCGTCCTTCCCCATCTCTGATCATGCACCGGTGGGATCCCTTGGCCTGGCCTGCGCCCTCTTGCAATCTGGGACCCCTTGGGGGATGTTGGAGAGCTGGTTTTGGCCCCATCCCGCAGGCCAGGCTAAAGCACCCCACTGGTGGACGAATTTGTGTGCTGGGCCTCTAGTTTTATATAAATGGAATCATAAAATATATGGCCTTTTGTGACTGCTTTCATTTAGCATGATGAAATGAACTTTGATGTTTTCAAAGTTCATCCATGTTGTAGCATGTATCAGTACTTCAATTCCTTTTTTTTTTTTTTTACATTTCTATAGTGTTTTTTTTTTTAGATTTTGTTTTATTGCTTAAGGTATTACAAAGAGTATTACATGTGTCTCCTTTTTTTTTTTTCTCCCTTGACCTTCCTCCAGCCTCCCCTACCGCCCAGTTCCTTTTATTGCCAACTAGTAGTTTATTATATGAATGTACCACATTTTATTTCCTCATCAGTTGATAGACATTTAGGTTATTTTTCACTTTTTTTTACTAATTAATAATGCTGCTATGAATTTTCATGTAAAAGTCTTTATTGGACATAAGTTTTTCATTTACTTGGTATATACCTAGGAATGGAGTTAGGGGTCATGATAATTTTGTTTAGTCTTTTGAAGAGCTACCACTCTCCTTTCATCCCCTCACTCACTTCATATCCCTCACCTCCGTCCTGCCAACCGCCATCTTTTTCTTCTGACTGTTTTTAAAATATATATTTTTCTATTGATTTCAGAGCGGAAGGGAGAGAGCTAGAGAGATAGAAACATCAATGATGAGAGAGAATCATTGATCAGCAACTTCCTGCATGGCCCCCACTGGGGATTGAGCCTGAAACCCAGGCAAGTGCCTTGACCGGGAATCAAACTGTGACCTCCTGGTTAATAGGTAGACAGTCAACCACTGAGCCACACAGGCTGGGCTTATATGTCTATTTTTATTTTATTTATTTATTTTTTAAATATACTTTATTGATTTTTTTTTACAGAGAGGAAGGGGAAGTGATAGAGAGTTAGAAGCATCGATGAGAGAGAAACATTGATCAGTTGTCTCATGCACACCCCTTACTGGGGATGTGCCCGCAACCAAGGTATATGCCCTTGACCAGAATCAAACCTGGGACCCTTCAGTTCTCAGGCTGACGCTCTATATACTGAGCCAAACTGATTAGGGCTCATTTGACTATTTTTAAATTGGGTTAATTGTCCTTTTATTATTGAACTAGAGGCCCAGTGCACGAAATTCGTGCACTCGATGGGGGGAGTCCCCTCAGCCTGGCCTGCATCCTCTTGCAGTCCAGGAGCCCTCAGGGGATATCCGACTGATGGCTTAGCAGGCCTAAGCCGGCAGTCAGATATCCTTAGTGCTGCTGCGGAGGTGGGAGAGGCTCCTGCCACCGCTGCTGCACTCACCACCTGTGAGCCTGGCTCAGGGCTTCTGGCTGAGTGGTATGCCCCCTGTGGGAGCGCACTGAGCACCAGGGGGCAGCTCCTGCATTGAACGTCTGTCCCCTGGTGGTCAGTGCACGTCATAGAGACCAGTCGTTCTGCCGTTCGGCCAGTTTGCATATTAGCCTTTATTATATAGGATTGTAAGAATTTTTTATATAGTCTAGATCTGATCAGATAAATGATTTGCAATTCTTTCATTCAGTGTGTTGTTTCTTCACTTTTTTGATGGTGTCTTTTAAAATACAAACATTTTCAATTTTGATGAAGTCCAATTCATTTATTTTTATTTTGTTGCCTGTGCTTTCAGTGTTGTATCTAAGACACCATTGCCTAATCCAAGATCATAAAAATTTTTCTTTTTCTTCTATAAGTTCTATAGTTGTAGCTCTTACATTTAGGTCTTTGATTCATTTTGAGTTAATTTTTATATATGGTGTAAGGTAGGGGTCTTACTTTATATGGATATCCAGTTGTTGCAGTGCCATTTATTGAAAAGACTATTATTTTGCTTTGAATTGTCTTAGCATACTTGTTGACAGTCAGTTGACCCCAGATGTGAGAGTTTATTTCAGAACTCTAAATTCTGTTCCACTATTCTGTATGTCTGTGTTCATGCCAGTACCACACTGTCTTGGATGCTGTATTTTTGTAGTATGTTTAAAATCAGAAATGTGAGTCCTTCAACTTTGTTCTTTTTGAGGATTGTTTTGTCCAATCCTGCTTGATTCCTTGAATTTCCTTGTGAATTTTAAGGTCAGCATGTCAATTTTTGTAAAGATGCCAGTGGGATTTTGATAGGGATTATAATGACTCTGTAGATGAACTTGGGGATTATAGCTATCTTAACAACATTAAGTCTTTAATATTTTCCCATTTATTTAGGTGTTCATATTTGAAAGTTGCTAAGAGAATAGATTTAAAAAGTTCTCATCAGAAGAAAAAAATTTGTAACTATGTGAGGTGATGGATCTTATCAAAACTTATTGTGGTAATCATTTTACATATATACATATATCAACTTATTATGTTGTAAACCTTAAACTAATACAATGTTATATGTCAGTTATATCTCAATAAAACTAGAAAGAAAGACAAAAGAATTGGAGGAGCCCAGCAGTCTACTATCACCTTCAGGGTGGGGCCTTAGATCCAAAACTTTGTCAGGCCCTGTATAACTTCATTTAATGGAGGGTGCTATACCTTATTTCTCATGAAGGGTTAGCTTGTTCGTACATTCTGGACGTTTTTCACATTTGCCTCAGAATAAGGTGCTTGTGAAGTATCCAAAAGAGTAGAGATAATTCTGTTGAGCTGTATATATTGACATTATTAAGCTTGCAGAAGAGGTTGCATGATTGTTTTGCTACTGCTTGCTAATAAAAGTTAGCTAATAGCAAGAAAAGAGAAGTTATGAATCTGCTAGCTAGCACGAGGAAGCAAACCCTCAAACCCAAAGGGTTAAATCTATTCAGATAGTAATTATTTGCCAATCACTCATTTTCCAAATGTGTTATTTGTATTTAATTGTATATCCAAGCTGTATTAAATAAGGCATTTGGTTACTTTTAAAATTCTGATGGGAATAAAGACAATGACTATGAGTTATTACATGCTTAGAAATTTTCAGGAAAAAAGGATGCATCTTTTAAAAACCAGTTTCAGCCGAAACCGGTTTGGCTCAGTGGATGGAGCGTTGGCCTGCGGACTGAAAGGTCCCAGGTTCGATTCCGGTCAAGGGCATGTACCTGGGTTGCAGGCACATCCCTGGTGGGGGATGTGCAGGAGGCAGCTGATCGATGTTTCTCTCTCATCGATGTTTCTGACTCTCTATCTCTCTCCCTTCCTCTCTGTAAAAAATCAAAATATATTTAAAATAAAAAATAAAAACCAGTTTCAAACTTAAAACTGTCTTATTTATATTTAAGGTTCTAGCATCTTGGACAGAGCTGTTATTGAACACAATTTGTTGTCTGCAAGCAAATTATATAATAATATTACCTTTGAAGAACTTGGAGCTCTTTTAGAGATCCCTGCAGCTAAGGTATGTTCTTGTTTCCAGTACATAAAAGGGAAGTTAAGAGACTATTAGTGTAATGAGAAAATAAAATATATAATTGATAAAAATATTGGCAACTGCAACAAAAATACACATAAAAAGCCTCAGGTAAATGGAAATAAATTATTTGAATTTTAGATTAGTACTGTAATGGAATTGTCTTTGTTTTTTGTTTGTGTTTTATGATAAGATGACCTAGAATGGAAATCTTAAAGCGTTTCCACGTTATGATACCCAGTTTATGGGAATATTAGAGTCTGTTCACATCCATTTCATAGTGGTTTCTGATTTCTGACTAACTTAAGATTTCGATAGATGCCTTATTACTTCTATTTTCTGCCCTAGATTGACTCATATGTTAAATATTTCTTCTCTTTGAGAGAATACACTAGACTATTCTATTGTAACTTCTGTGCTTCATTTAACTTAAGAAGTTGACTGAGTTACTAGGGAATTAATTTCATTCTTTGTCATGATAAGAGTTTAGTGGCTATGTATAAATCCCAACAAAGTACCAATTCTATTTAGAGGGCATTTCAGGTATCATTTACAAAACATTCTCTTAATTTTAAATAATAGTAAAAGCAAACAATTAACCTTACTTTTATCTAACTTGTAAAACTTAAAGTCATGTACTTATGTCACATCTTCTTTTCTGTGTTAGTGCAATTTTAAGTTAGGATTTTTAACACAATTCCTTTACATGTTCACATTTAATATGCAATAAAGGAAGTGAAACAATGTGGGAACCAAGGCTCAATTACCATTAAAAAATGCTTTTGCCTGGCCGGTGTTGCTCAGTGGTTGAGCGTTGACCTATGAACAAGGAGGTCATGGTTCGATAATTAGTCAGGGCACATGCCCTGGTTGCGGGCTTGATGCCCAGTGGGGGCATGCAGGAGGAAACAAATCAATGATTCTCATTATTGATGTTTCTATCTCTCGTTCTCCCTTCCTCTCTGAAATCAATAAAAATAAAAAAAACAGATGCTTTCTTCTTAGGCTTTGAGGTATGATCCCTTTATGAACAGACTAAGGGAAATGAATATATTTTTAACAATAAATGCCAGTCACAGACTATTTAGAAGTGATTTATGATTGATTGTGAAGGTGGTCAGATTTACTAAAATGACTGAGTTACAACCCAGTTTACTCACACATAGTAAATGTGAAACATGTCTTTAGGCACTAGGTAGAGAACCTTTTGTTCCCTTTAATTGTTTTTTAAATCCTTTCAGTTCTCTTTTAAATTTGAACATCTCTTTCTCCTTTCAGTTTTTTTCTTCAAACATATTATGTTCTTAGAGAGTTTTTGGGGTGTGAACACTGAAAATTGAAATAAAATAAAATGAGAAAAGTCTTGTGTTTTTTAAAATATATTTTTCAGAGAGAAAGGAGAAGCGAGAGAGAGAGAGAGAGAGAGAGAGAGAGAGAGAGAGAGAGAGAGAAACATCAATGATGAGAGAGAGTCATCGATCAGCTGTCTCCTGCACACCCTCTGCTGGGGATCAAGCCTGCAACCTGGGGACTTGCCCTTTACCAGAATTGAACTCAGGACCTTTCAGTCTGCAGCCCGACACTCTATCCACTGAGCCAAACTGGTTAGGGCAAAGTTGGGTTTTTTTTGAGGTGTGGATCTCAGTAGAAAAACAAAATTGTTAGTTTGATTTTAAGCAGTGATAAAAAATTTTTGCCCAAAAATAAAAAATTCTTCTCTAAAACCTCCCAAGCAAAATAGATCCCAGTTAACTTAAAACAATGGATGTAACTAGAAAGAATTGGTGTGGTATAATAGGAAGATTTACCATATTTGCTCTTGTAATGAATGGCAGATAAACACATTTGTAAGCTTAGTGATGGGTAGCTAAACCAAGAGTTTTCAATTGTCTTAGCATATGTGAATGTGTTAGATATGATAATTAAAGTGTCTGAGAATTTATTTTTTTATTTAAACAGGCAGAAAAGATAGCATCACAAATGATAACAGAAGGACGTATGAATGGATTTATTGATCAGATTGATGGAATAGTACACTTTGAAAGTAAGAAGTTTTTTTTTGTTTCTGCCATAATGAAATGTCAGTGAGGTGTTATATATTTACTAGAGACCCGGTGCATGAATTCGTGCATGGGTGGGGTCCCTCTGGGTGGGTTGCAGGGTTTGGGCCGAAACCTGCAGTCCAACGCCGCCTGCAGCTCCTACTTGCCGCTCCCACTCATCCTGGCCCCACTGTGCCTGCTGTGGGCTTGCGCTCAATCAGTCCTGATTGGGAGAGGCTTATGCTGCTGCAGCAGCAGTGCTTGCCAACCATGAGCCCTGCATCTGGCGCCTTCCCAAGGGGAGTGGCCTGCGGGATTGGGCTGAAACCGGCTTTCCGACATCCCCTGAGGGGTCCCAGATTGTGAGAGGGCGCAGGCTAGGCTGAGGGACCCCACCTGTGCACGATCGGGCCGGGGAGGGACCATGTGAGGGTTCCAGGGTGTGTCCAGCCCATCTCACTCAGTCCTGATCGGCCAGACCCCAGCAGTAAGCTAACCTACTGGTCAGAACATCTACCCCCTGGTGGTCAGTGCACGTCATAGTGAGCCAGCCAGTGAGCGGCTTTAGCATTCATTAGCATATTACGCTTTGATTGGTTTTTTAGTTCTGCCTTTTGGTCTATTTGCATATTACCCTGTTATTATATAGGATGATTAAAGCATGTTGAGCAATTTCCTTTGACCTAGACTCTTACTACTGGAATAGTCTTCTTTCTCAGAGAAATAATTTAAGATACATGTTTTGTGAGCTTACATTAATGCAGCATTTTCTATGCTGTAGAAAAATTTGAAACTGGAATTGTCATCAGTTCGTTCATTTACTCATCAAACGTTTATTGAATGCATACCATGTAGCAGGCATGTAGAGATGAACGCTGCATTTCCTATTCATTAGACTAATGGAGGCAGGCAGGTAAGTAGATCTCTTGACTTTCTCATTGTCTAATACCTCCTCAGCCCCGGTTCCTATCTCATTTACACTGTGGACTCTGCTGTGCCCAGAACCAGTCCACTTGTAAAATTTTAGTTTGAAATATCCCACTCTGACCATAACCATTTTCCTCTCTTTATCGTGGTCTGTCTCAGTTATTTCATTTCAACTCTTCCTTGACTGCATTGAAGCCTCTCATCTGTTGACTTTTCCAGTCAGCCCAGCCCTTTTTTGTCTTTAATGCTCTTGTCCATTACTCTTTTACAGATACCCTGGAACACTTGTCTGTTATCTTTTTGTCCCAGCTGTCCAGCAAAACTTCATCTTGAATGAACCCATTCCATTTCTCCCGTACTTGAGTAGCTAACTAATGTCGGAGAAGAGTCAGAGCACCAGACAAATTGAACACCACTGCAAATTCAGGGTCATGGGTTCTCAACACTACCTGAGATTCTTGATACATTTCTTTAGTCAACTCTTTTTCCTACTCTTCAATGATTATTTCAGATTTCATTTTTCTTAAATCTCTTGACTTTTCTCCTTCTATCTCAGCAGAGAACCTTGTTTCCTATTTCACAGAGAGAAAAAAAAGGTATTGGTGTGAATTTATCTTCTTTAGCAGATTCATAAACTTGTAAGTATTAAATGGAGATCTAATTCTTTTCTTCTTTCATGTTATACCAGAGATGGTTTCCACCTCCCTCTTCAGTTCTTCCACTTGTGCTTTGGATCCCTTCTCTGGCCTCTGCCACTACTCCCACTTCCCCAACATTTTTAGGAACCTGAGCTTAGCAGTTATTTTTTCTGTTTTCATCTTTTCTTTTTCTGTTGGCTTCTTTCCATCAATTTTAAACATACTTGGGTCTCTTCCATTTTAACAAAAATCCTATTACCTCTCAAGCCTCTTGACTTTTCAATATATCAAATAGGATTGATCATTTACTTCTTAATATCTCCTGCCCTACCCCCATCATCTTGACTCGGTCATCTTCTGCTTTCTCTACTACTTCTCCAGGTATTCTTCCTAGTCATCTTTGTAGATTCAATATTTAATGCTACGGCTTGGGTTTACACCTAGGCCTTTTCTTCTCACTCTACTAAGTTTCCCTAGGGAATCTCATCTATTTGCATTGATTCAGTTATCATCGCTATGCAGGCAACACTTACATATACTTTTCTGGGGTAAATCTCTGAGTCCCAGATGCAGTGATTCTAATTGATTATTAGGTGCTTCTCACCGGATTACATGATGGGCATCTCCAAATGAATATATTCCAAAATGAATTCATTATCTCCCCTCTCTGCCTGCCTCCCACAACAACCAACCAACAAGCCATCCAGTAACCACATTGTTCACTTTCTCCAGCCTTCCTTTTTTTAATTTTAATTTATTGATTTTTGGAGAGTAAGAGGAAAAGAAAGAAACATTGATTTTATGTTCTACTTATTTATGCATTTATTGGTTGATATTTATATGTGTCCTGACTGTGGATCAAACCCACAACCTTGGTGTGTTGAGACTATGCTCTAACCAACCAAGCTACCTGGCTAGGGCCTCCAGCATTCTTTGTCCTTGATCTTATCACTTCTTTGCTGCCCAGAATCCTTTCAATTTAACCTCAGAGGTGCATCTGGAATCACATACCCTCCTTCATTTCTTATTGTCACCAGCTTATTCTGAACCACCATGACCTCTTTTGGGCTTGAGAAATAGCTTTTAACTTATTTTTCTCATATCTATAATTGCTCCTTTCTAGTCCAGCTGCCTTAATATAGCCAAAGTGATCATGATCTTTTAAAAATGCAAACAGTGCTAACCAGTGTGGCTCAGTTGATTGAAGTGTCGTCCTGTGCACTGGAAGGTCTCGGGTTCGATTACCAGTTAGGGCACATACCTAGTTGCAGGTTCAGTCTCTGGTCAGGACGAGGCAACTGATCGATGTTTCTCTCCCTCCTTGTCTAAAATCAATTTAAAAATGCAAACAAACAAAAGAAAGTATTACATTACTCTCTTTCTTGGTACTCTTATGAGTGATTTCCCATTGCTTATATAACAAAGTTCTACAAAGTCTCTAAAGCAGTGGTTCTCAACCTGTGGGTCGCGACCCTTTTGGGGGTCGAATGACCCTTTCACAGGGGTCGTCTAAGACCATCAGAAAACACATATATAATTACATATTGTTTTTGTGATTAATCACTATGCTTTAATTATGTTCAATTTGTAACAATGAAAATACATCCTGCATATCAGATATTTACATTACAATTCATAATAGTAGCAAAATTACAGTTATGAAGTAGCAACGAAAATAATTTTATGTTTGGGGGTCACCACAATATGAGGAACCTGTATTAAAGGGTCGCGGCATTAGGAAGGTTGAGAACCACTGCTCTAAAGGGTCCTACATGATTTTTTATTTTTTTAGCTTTATCTTTCTAATCCCAATCATAAAGGTCTTTTTGTTGCTCCCCCCCCCAGTATTGTACATTTCCCCCCACATCAAACATTTTTAAATGATCACTCTTCTTTACATCCAGTTTCCAACCAGCCATCAAGTGAGAGGACAACTTAAATTAATGTATACCAACTTGTTTTTTATTTTCAAAATTCTAATTTTGTCCTGTTTAGAAAGCAAAGTAAAGAAAATGGGATTGTCTTTGTAATTTAAAACATTTTACATATTGTTAGGAAAGGACTGATAACTCATTATTCTATGTTCTTTATGAAGATTTATAGTTTTTTTCTTCATTAATTTTGTGCCCAGTTTTTGTAAAGTTTGGTGTTACTTTAAATGGGATCCCTCCCCCCTATTTTTCATTTCTAATTTTATATTGCTCATATAGAAAAAAACCTGCTGGATTCTTGATGAGTTGGGTTTTTTTGTTTGTATGTTTATTTTGGGTTTAAATATTGAAATATTTATCCCTCAGAGTCAAGTAGAAACAGCCTTGAATATATAGTATACACACACTTTGAATAATTATAAAGATAGTGTTTATTAAAATGCATTTCATTTTCAAAATTGAGCTATCAGCTGTTAAAGTGTGTGTACATTTTTTGGGGTCACCTTGAAAATAGATTTATACTTTTCCCAGCAGATGGCAGTGTCTTATTAGCCAATGGTAATGAGACAGTTTTAGTGAAGCTGTCATATTGTAGTTGTGGTTGTTTGGTTGATTGGTTTTATTTTGTTTTCACAAATAATAATCTGTGTGTACATGTCTTCTGTTTGTTTCATACTTTGTGCCAGTGATTTAAGTGATTTTTTTTCCGGTGCTTTTCTTTATTACTTAATTAGCTTAATTTTATTAGACAATTTTTGGAGTAAAGTTTAAAAAATTCATACTCTGTATTTATCTCTAAACTTATATTTGCTGTGAATACAAAAGAGTAATTTTAGCTTTTACATTATTTCTTTTTTATTTAGCACGAGAAGCCCTGCCAACATGGGACAAACAGATCCAATCGCTTTGTTTCCAAGTGAATAACCTTTTGGAGAAAATTAGTCAGACAGCACCGGAATGGACAGCACAAGCCATGGAAGCCCAGATGGCTCAGTGACTCCTTGCAGAACTTCTGTGCACACTACATCTTTTTCCATGCTGTACAGATTAATTTCACTGTCTCCAAAGCATTTGCATCATGACCTTATGTATTTCAATCCCTTTTATGCTGGATTCCATTTAAAGAAGATATTATTAGAGCAGGAAGTACAAGCATTTAAAAATATGTAGTTCCCATATATTCAGGGTCTCTGTGTATCAAGCTAACTCAGAAGTTTTGAAAGTGTTTTCTTTAAACAGAGTAAGTGAAATATCTGTGGCTAAGAAGTTTGGGATTTGTGATAACTTTGTAGTCATGTAAAACTTAAGTGCTTTGTGCCTCTCCAAATGTGGTTATTCTAATAAATGGAGAAGTGAGCCAAATAAAGGTAGTACTTTGTTTTAAATTAGTGAACAGTGTTTTTTTGTTTGTTTTTTTTGTTTTTGTTAAACCTCACCCGGGGATATTTTTTCCATTGATATTTAGGGAGAGTGAAAGAGGGAGGAAGGGAGGGAGAAAGAGAGAGAGAGAAAGAAAGGGAGGGAGGGAGAGAGAGAGAGAGAGACATCAATTGGTTGCCTCCTGCATGAGCCCTGACCTGGGCTGGGGAATGAACCTGCAATCCAGGAATGTGCCCTTGACTGGGAACTAAACCTAAGACCCTTCAGTAGGTCAATGCTCTACCACTGAGCCACACTGGCTAGGGCTTCCTTTTTCCTTTTAATTAGGCAGACAGTTACACCATATGCTAGAAATGCATAATGCCTGTTCTCTAGCATTCACAGTCACAGAGCCAATAGATAATACGTGTAATACTTTTAGTTGTACCAAATACTGGAGCACACAGGGAAGAGCTTTTCGTTTGGCAGAGAAAATCAGGCAAGGCTCCTCAGAGAGGATTATTTCAGCTAGCTTTATAGAGAAAATGGGAAAAGGAGTTTCAGAAAAGTTTGTGGGCGACTATCAGTTTCAGCCCCAACATGTAAAGAGCTTGGGAATCATCACTTCATTCTCACAACAAGAAAAAAGCTGGGCCGGCTGAAAATCATGGCTTTTCTTAGATACACAAAAGAATTGAAATCAGAGCAAACCACCATTCCAGAACCTATAGAGACAGGCAAATAGAATCACAATGGAGATCAGCTTTTTAGGAACAGAATCTGCTCAAGTTAGTAACCTGTGTGTACAGTGAAATGGCAACTGACAAGTTATGGGAAGCTGAGTGCGGACTAGCTGGACAGTTAAAACCCCGAGTGGCCACTCTTAGAGAAGCCCCCACGTCTTCTAGAATTGACCCTGATGATGTTAACTTTGATCACCTGGCTGAGGTAGTTGTGTCAGGCTTCTCCACAGTGGTTACTCCCCCCTCTTACTCCTTGGAAAGAAGTCACTATACAAACCCACACTCAAGGGGTGGGGGATTATGCTCCATCTCCTTGAGGGAGAAGTATCTACATAAATTACTTTGAATTCTTCTGTACTTCTGGGAGATTTCTACTCTCCCCTGTTTGTTTTTGTATATTTATGTATTTTGTATGGACTCACAGATATTTTACACCAAGGGCGTAAAATACAACCTATTTCCAGTTTTGTCAATGGGGAGTTTTTATAGTTGGTTCCCATATCCCTTTGTCTCTTTTTCTTTTTAAATATATTTTATTGATTTTTTTACAGAGAGAAAGGGAGAGGGATAGAGAGTTAGAAACATCGATGAGAGACATTGATCAGCTGCCTCCTGCACACTCCCTACTGGGGATGTGCCCGTAACCCACGTACATGCCCTTGACTGGAACCTGGGACCCTTGAGTCCGCAGGCCGATGCTCTATCCACTGAGCCAAACCAGTTAGGGCCCTTTGTCTCTATTTTTAACATAAATTGTATTCTTTGATATTGTCTCTTGATTCATTTTAGATATTTGTATATCTAAAGTTTTATTGTCAGTGAGTACTATAGGGTCCAAGCTAATGAGCAGAAGGGCCACCAAGATTATTTTACTTTAAAGATTCAGTTCAAAGATTCAGTGAGTTATTTCCCTGAGACTAAGAAAAGAGTTCAGATGTCAGGATTCATTATTATGTAGTCAGTGGGGCAAAAGTAGGTTAACACTTGTGAATATGGGAAACATTTCATTCTTGTACTAGGGGCCTGGTGCATGAAGATTTGTGCACGGGGGATGGGTCCCTCAGCCCGACCTGCACCCTCTCCAATAGGGGAGCCCTCTCCAATCTGGGAGTTTCTGTCTGTCTGTGCAATCATGTGAGGGAATTGTCTGAGACGCCAGCCCAGTCTGGTTTAGTGCTCACAGAATAGTAGAGGTCTTTTTTTTTCCCTTTGCTCCATTGTGGAGATTTCATAGAAGTTGCAGGATATCTTCCTTTTAATTTTTCCTCGACACTCTGACTTTACTTATGTCTCTCACCTTTGCTCTCCCTTCATCCCCCCAACAGTAATTTGCTCCAGGCTCACTTTGCTCTAGTGCAGGGGTGGGCAACCCCTGGCATGTGTGCCAAACATGGCATGCCAGTAACTTTTGCTGGCACGTGAAACCCTCTCTTATAATCTTCCATTTACAATTGTGAACATTTGAATGACTTAAATGTTAAATTACAAGGAACTGGCAAGACACTTGATGTTATGTTTGGTTACATAAAGGCTTTTGTAAAGAAACTGGAAGTCTTTAAGAGGGATGTGGATGGTGAGAGATTTAGATATTTCCCAAACCTCAAGAGGCACATCAAAGACCTCCCAAAAGATGACAGAACAGACTGTCAAAGCCTTCAAAAGCTGTTTTTAAACATCATCAAGTCAACTATTGAGCAGCTCTTCTCAAGATTTGCGAAATTCAGAGAACTGGAAGAGAGCAAAATTCATGAGGTTTCCAGACAGCATGAAACTGGAGGAACTAAACTTACAAATCTTTTCATGGATAGACATGGCCGACTTTGAAATGTAGTTGATTGAATTTCAGAGTAGCTCAATTTGGAAGCAGAAATTTATTGACCTTAGAGTTGACTTGGAAAACATTGAAAAAAAGCGATTAGAGACAGGAGTACCAGAGAGAAGTGTCGAAAACGAACTATTGAGGACTTGGAATGCCATTCCAGAAAATTTTTTCTATTTAAAAAACTTTGCAACAGCGTTACTCTCCATGTTTTCATCCACATACACTTGTGAATCTTTGTTCTCAGTGATGAATTTTGTTAAGCCTCATAATAGGAGTAGCCTGACAGATGAAAGTAGTAGCTCGTGCATATCTCTGAAGATCACGAAATATAAACCTGATGTAAAATCTCTGTCATCAGTGATGCAGCAGCAAAAGTCCCACTGATAATATCAAATGGAGTCATAAAGTTTTCTGTCGGACTATCAGTGTACATGTATACATTAAAAAATAAATGTATTTTTCATCATCATATACTGTGTTTTGTCGCTCGAATGAATTTTATTATTTCTTCAAGGTTCTTCACATACGTACACCTTAAGAGATACCAAGTAGGCATAACATGTTCTCAAAAAATTAGGGTTGGCATGCAGAAGAATTTTGAGTCAGAGATTTTGCTGGTTTTGGCACGCATTCACAAAAAGGTTGCCCACCCTTGCTCTAGTGTCTAGGAAATCCCACAACGTGTCTGCCACCAGAACTACGATTCCCAAAATCCCTGGTGCTCCCCGCGCTCTTGGTTTTTGCTACTGGTCCAGGGGCTGCTGAAACGAAAAGGACTGGGAACTTCAGCCGCCCCTAGGCCGGGCTGACAGGACCAGACACTCCAGTGGTGTCCCCAGGACCCAGGCTGCTTGGCACCTGCATGCATAGGCCCGGAGCGGCCGGGGGGCGGGAACGCCCTCCACGTCGCCAGGGCAACGTGGCGGGTGTCCCGCCCTAACCCCTGGCTGCTCAGCGGTCGCCAGGGCAACGTGGCAGGTGTCCTGCCCTAACCCCTGGCTGCTCAGCGCATGTACGCTGCACACAGGTCCGCCACAGTGACGCGGAGGGCATTCCCATCTTGCCCCCAGCTGCTCGGCACCTGCACACATAGGCCCAGAGTGGCTGGGGGTCGTTCCAGGACCCCGGCTGCTCTGGGCCTATGCACGGGCCTACAGGCTCAGAGTGGCCTGGGTCCCAAGGATGCCCGTCCCCGGGACCCAAGCTGCTTGGTGCAGGAGCACGCGCAAGTAGCTGCCCTGTCCCCGGCTGCTCAGTGCCTATGTATGCAAATTAACCCACCATCTTTGTTGGGTTAATTTGCATACTCCTGATTGGCTGGTGGGTGTTGCGAAGGTATGATCAATTTGCATCTTTCTCTTTTATTAGTGTAGATTATTATTTATTAACTAGAGACCTGGTGCACAAAATTTGTGCACTCGGGGGGGTGGGTGGCCCCTCAGCCCTGCCTACACCCTCTCACAGTCCAGGAGCCCTTGAGGGATGCCCAAATGATGGCTAAGCTGTCAGTCGGACATCCTTAGCGCCGCTGCAGAGATGGGAGAGGCTCCTGCCACTGCCGCTGCGCTTGCCAGCCCTGAGCCCAACTTCTGGCTCAGCGGTGCTCCCCCTGTGGGAGCGCACTGACCACCAGGAGGCAGTTCCTGCATTGAACGTCTGCCCCCTGGTGGTCAGTGTGTGTCATAGTGACAAGTCATTCCATGGTTTGGTTGATTTGCATATTAGCCTTTTACTATATAGAATTACTGTGTTATTTCCCATACAAAGAACTATAAACCTAATTTGCCCAACTCTGTAGGTGTGGGTAGATATTTTATCCAAATTGCCTCATGTATTTATTTGAATAAACAATGTTGAAAACTATCTAACTTCACATCTTCTGACCTCATCCTGTCCAGTCTGTGCTGTATATCACCATCAGATTAATTTTTCTAAAATGAAGTTCTATTTATGTTATTCCCTTCCTTAATGACTGCAATAACTCCCCACTGCTTACCAAGTACATAGCAAATCATTTGCCTACTACTCATGACATCGCATGCCAAGGTCTCAACTCACTTCTTTTTCTTTTTTTAATATATATATTTTTTATTTCAGAGAGGAAGAGAGAGGGAGAGAGAAGCATCAATGATGAGAGAGAATCATTGATTGGCTGACTCCTGCATGCCCCACACTGGGGATCGAGCCCGCATGTGCCCTTGACCAGAATCGAAACTGGGACCCTTCAGTTTGCAGTCCGACACTCTATCCACTGAGCCAAACCAGCTAGGGCTCAACTCCTTAAAATCTTTCATTTCTCATTATTTTCCTACTGGTATAATATGTTCCCACCAAGTTGGACTTAAGCTCGTAGAGATGTTTTTCCTCCTCTATAGTTTTACTAATGTTGCTGATTAGAAGCAACATCCATTTCTAGTAATTAAAATCACATCTTGTGTCAGATCTTCAGTTTGCTTCATTGGATC